AAGTCAGAGAGCTTTCCAAAAAAAGGGAATGTGTGATTTAACAATGGACAGGGATCATGTAAAAGCTCATAACATTTACAGCGTCTGAACCTCAAAACAGCAAGTAAAATCCTTAAACAGCAGTTCAGCAAATTATCTAATGGCAACAGCCAGTAACATGATGGAACTTCCTTTCAGCATGTCCCTGCTCGTAACAGCTTTCAAGGCCTGTTAGCAACTACAGCCCTTGGCACCGCTTAACAACTTAAGTGAATTGAACAATTGCTAACAATTACCTTCCCAAAACCCTAACAGCCGTCAAAAATTCTTTCTCAGCATCTGGGTGACCCAACCAGAATGAAACATCCTGTCAACAATATCCTGCTGTGGCAGAAAGCGCTCTGTTACAGGTCCTTACAGCTTCTAACAGTCCCTAGAATCAGACAACTGTTAACTTAAAAAAACCTAACAGCCGTCAAAAATTCTTTCTCAGCATCTGGGTGACCCAACCAGAATGTAACATCCTGTCAACAATATCCTGTTGTGGCAGAAAGCGCTCTGTTACAGGTCCTTACAGCTGCTAACAGTCCCTAGAATCAGACAACTGTTAACAGTGTGGGCTCCAGGTACATGTCAGTCACAGGGCCTAACAGGACCAAACAGCCTCTAACCCAGTGTCTAACTGGCTGTTATGCCACGTTGACAACTATCGTCAGCAGCTGATAATGAGCCCGGCTGACAGCTCCGCCTAAGAAGTTAGCCGCTGTTAGACCCCCTATGAGTTGGTAGGGTCATGCGTGTAGCACCACTGGCGAACAGAAGGGGCAGAAATAGACAAGTTGGGTGTCGGCTTCAAGGAAGCCGGAAAAAGGGTGGGGCCCCTCTGCATCCGTACAGGCCGGTAGCAATCGACATCCGGGTGCATGCCGCATCGACATCCGGGTGCATGCGGCATGGACATCCGGGTGCATGCTGCATCGACATCCGGGTGCATGCCGCATGGACAGTATGGCAGACCGCAAACGGAGCCGTTGCTTAACATATGAAGTCCGGTGCTGTCTGTGATGGTTAGGTCTTGGAGCACCAGTGGCTACAGGAAAGCACCCCACTTCTGCATTGCTTTGTAATAACTAAACAGATAAGTAAGAGTGGCAGAGTGCAACTCTTCAGAGGCCCCGTGCATTGGCCAAAGTAATTGTACAAACAAGCACCTTGTGTATTTCATAGAGAAATGAAAGCAAATTTGTTGGCCTGCTGGTGGCAAGTCAGATTGCCCATGCTGGCAAATGGTAACACAAGCTGGGTGTTCGAGTTATCATACGCTGTCATCTCAGAATTCCATTATGAGATACACGGTACCTTTTGAGATTAAATTTAGCCGAAGAGGCGTTGATGTGACTTTTGAGGTCGGTGAATGGAGGCAGCTAAACTTGTTTGTGCTCATACTATCTTTGTTAGCTACAGGCGAGATACCTTGCAATAGAGAATGCTATATAGTACCGATAATGCGTTTCAGCCTGGTGAAATATTATGTTTGGTCCGTTACACACTCAAGGCCTGGGAGTTCGAGTTATCATACGGTACCTTTTTGAGACTAAATTTAGCCGAAGAGGCGTTGATGTGACTTTGGCCTCGGTCAATTGAGGCAGCCAAACTTGTTTGTGCTCATAAGATTTTTGTTGGCTACAGGCGAGATACCTTGCAATAGAGAATGCTTCATAGTACCTATAACGCATTTCAGCCGGAGGTATTATGTTTGGTCCGTTACACACACACACTCACACACACACACACACACACGGAAATGGGCAATCCTACAGGTCGGGGCCCGCCTGGGCGCTTCACGCTGGGGCCCCGCCCAAAAAACATGTCAAAAAATTTATACACACCAGCACACGATACAGCATAATACAAGGGTGTAACCCACCACTACACCAGGTTTTCCGAAGTGCTCCCAAAGGATGAAGGGCGGTGGTGATGGGCTGTGCAGCAGCCGCAACAGCATGTAGTAAAAGAAGTAACTCTTGCCAATCCTAGGCGTCCCGGTAACTGCAACACAACACACAAGGGCAAGGGGGAGGCCTCGCTCATCAAGTGAGTGTAGTGAATGATCGAAAGCAGCAGTATATAAAAACTATCACTGCAATGTCTGTCCACGAGGGCAATATCCAACATAATTGTTGTAGACCCGCCTGCCGAAATGACAGGTTGGGAGCAGTAGTCCCTCACACCCCTGAACAAGTGTCACTGGTAATCTGCCAGGTTACCAGTGACCTCTTTCCCTGCCAGGTTACCAGTGACACTTAGTAACCTGGCAGGGAAAGAGATGGGCTCACCAACAAACCTTGTTTTCGTCGACTCGAAGATGGCCTTGAAAAGGTCCGGATAGCACTTTCGGACATACAGCTGACAGCTCGGACTGTGCAGTAGGAAAGTCATATCACCACTGCCCACAGTCAGGAGATTGCCAGCAGCCGGCACTGCTGTCGTACACAATGTAGCGAAGAAGCGCGTGGCATCCTCGGCCGTTGTGGAAGGAGCTGTGGACGTGGGCATTTAGCATGCACAAAGTCAGAAGGGCATCCAGCCACCAAAGGCACCAGACAGCTTAGACTCCAAAACAAGGATGCAGTACACGTGACACTCGTGGTTCATCAGCGAAAAGAAGTAAAAATAAGGTCCAACTCATCAAAGCTACTATGCACTGTAACAATTGGATGGCGGGTCTGCGCAAACCTCGGCGTGGCCCCAGCAGCATATGCGCTGCGCTGACACTACTCACCGTTGCGCAGCATAACCTCCAAGAGCAGATTTTGCTGCGCCAAGAGCTGCATTTTCTTTCGCGTAAGTACAGCAAGGTTTCCCTGTCCGTGCATGCCTCTATTTCCCCCTCCACCTTGCGAATCTTCGCCTCTAAAGCGTCTATCGCCTCCATTGCGAGGTCCCGTGCCAAATTCACGCAATACACTACCCTACGAGCCTCAAATTACACGAAAAACAGGATACGTTTATCGTGCTGCGCTGCTGCAAGTCGCGGTCGCCAACACAACAGTTTAGCTTTGTTTGTGACATCAGATAAGAAGAGCAGCACAGGCAGTCTTATAATCAGGGAGCAAATGTTTTATCTTATTTACATAGGAAAAGTCCAAACAGAGGCCCCATAGGTGTTAGGTCCGCGGGTGATCCGTACTCCGAGAGACTAGATGTGTCGAGAGACATTGGAACGGCTGGGACAGATAGACTCCGCCAAGAACCCGGAGATTGACAGACAGTCATACAGAACCTATGACCTGGGATTGGCCAACAGGCTGACGAGTGTGCGTTGCAAACGTTTCGGATCTTGAACCCGGCTAGTCTTAAAGCCCTTCTGCGTGTCTGTCAGCATCGATTCTCAGAGTGACACGCTTGTGATGAGCATCCGCATTGACTCATGTTGTTACTCTAGCGGTGTCTTACAGTCTCTAAAACTAGTGATTACCATCAGTTCGATGATACATGAATGCAGTCTCATAGCTAGCCTGTGACTATAAACGCTTATCGGCATGTCCGAGCGCACGAAGCCACTTCTGTCAGAGCAATGAGAGGCGCAGTGAAGCCATAGCCACCGAATATACTACGCACATCTACGCAATAACGTCCTTTTATCTGTAAACAGCATTAGTGTGGACCTCTAGACGGAAAACAGGGTACAGGAAGGTTGGAACAGCGGCGAGGGACCTGCAGAATTGATGCGCCGGGGATGTGCGGCCTTTCCTGCGAAAGCCATCAGGGAGCCGTCTTAGGTGGCGACATGATATTAATCCGACGAGTTCCACTTACGGCGCAGCCATCGTGTGTACATAGCCACTTTCTGTGTTTTCGAGAGACTCGGGCACATGGCCGTTTCCCCATCTCCCCTCCCCTTTTCCACTCCACCACACCTTAACTCGCACATCCACCGTGACGGCGCCAACACAAGCACCAGCTGTTCTCTGTCCCATTGGGTTTTACATACTCTTGTGTGTGATCAGTGCTTGGGTTCTCACACGCATACATCATGGACCTCCGTCACGACCGCTACAGGCCCTCCTGTGCATGGAATATCACTCGCCTCAACAAGACCTCGTACACGAGCTGCAGTGGCAGTAGCAGCAGGATAGGGTCGTATTATCCGCATTCGCTTCCTGGGGGCTGTTGTGGGAACGATTCAGATGAGGCGCACTCTCGGAAGGTGGGGCCAACGTCCAGCCGGAAATGGAGGTAAGATGGAAGGAAGGGTTGGGGCAGTTCGGCAGCTTGTCCTGTAACGTTGCGGGATTGGAATGTTGGCTACGACAGCGTCCTGTGGCGTCCTCGTGAGATTATGATGCAACACGCCGACACTTAGCGTATGCGTCCGGACGTTTTTTTATTATTATCCTATGATGATGAGGTACGGATGTAAATTCCGGACGGCCTTCCTGACGCGATGCCTGGTTTTTGGTCTCGGATGTTTCAAGACAACAGCGTTTTGACGGCATCGCGACTTCGCGTGAAATGGTCGATGGTGCGAAATGCAGGACGTTGCTTGGAATAGATGATGGTGATGCATGCTGTACAAAGAGTTACTTCACAGACATGCATTTGGCTCAGCTCACTTATCTACACACTGTGTCCGTTACTATGGACATGCAAGGGAGCGATGATGCATAGGAGCACTGTACAGTAGAAGCTTGTCCATGCCATGCTGCTCAGTAAGGTCGAATCCACAACCAAGTTGTGAATAGCAGATCGAAAAGGAAGAAGAACCAATATATTAAAGCATAGGCACTGAGCAATTGCGTGTATCGAGGGCAACTGCCGCTGTCGAATCAAACCATGTCATCCAGCGAAGACACTGATGCTACTGAAATGTAACTCGCGGTACATAGGATGTCACGAAGTTGTCTGCTCCGTAGTAGAAATTGCTCCAGAACCCTACCCAAAGTCGTATCGTCATCAACTGAGGCGATATGGATGCGACTACCTAATTGGCGCACCTTTAGGACACTCGGGGTGTATTTCCAGTGAGGATTAAGGCCAGAAATTAGTGTTAATCCCTGTGCTAATCCAAAGCAATTCAGAACTGGTAGTATTAGCTTCGAGATCGCATCAAAAAATGTGCATCGCCCTTTGTACGGCCTTAATCCCGCGCTAATCCCAGGCCTTAATAATTGCCAGGGATTAGCCGGGAATAGCGGGACCTTAATCCTGGCCTTAATCTGCACTGGAAATACACCCTCAGCAATGTATTGCACATTCCTTATTTGTGTACGACGGCTGTAGTCAGGCGACTTAAACTTGTGGTGTTGCTCAGTAAGCATTTACACCTCGCTAAATATCAGAAAGGCTTGGATTGCCGGTTTATGAAAACAGTTGTCTTGGGATGTGACAAGTTGTGGTACATATGGTAGGAGTCGCTAATAGCGAAGGGCAGTTGGATTTCGAGATAGTTTGCCTTCTTTTATAATGCAAGTCATTTAGATTTTTATATGGCCACGTTTCTCATACATCACCATGCTCCTTAGTTACGACTTTCCAAACCTCCCGGGCGCACGCAAGCGGCACCAGCCTCGCGCTTCGGTAGCTCGTGCTTGGCTCGCTTACAAGTCGAGGCTTAACGTTATTAGTAGTCCTGCTTTACGACCAGTCCGAAGTCTTGCCGGTGATGACGACACCTCGGGTTCGGGCGACATCGACGCGCTCGCCCGAATGCTCAGCCAACAGGCTGCTAAGCTTCGTGCATCGATCGGTGACGAAGAACTACGCAAGAGCTACGACGGCTTTGACGATGTGACAAGAAGTGGCGTGTTCGGTCTGCAGGTGTGCGTGTTTGCGCGCCCGCGGTGATTGCGACGGCGCGAGTGGTAAAATCACAAAGCTGATGGCCCCCGGCATGCGTTTGGAACCCTGTCCTCAATCTTTGGTGGTGCGACTGCTGCTACTGCTGCTGTGTTTGTTGGCCCGCACAGCAAACAGCCGTCCCGACCCCACCTAGCCCAGCCCAGCCCGTTGCCTGCCAACGCTACCCCGATCTCCTCATACACAAAGTAACTAGCGACTAGCGGTACACGCACACCCCTTCAGTCCAGAGCTCTTCAGTCCAAACCTTTCACTTGTGTGTAGCCCCTGGTGGAAGCCACAAGTTTGCAGAAGGCTACGTGGGCGATTTCACGTATCCAGGGGGAGGGGGGTTTTCACTGCCGTAGACATGTGCATGTACCCAGTACGGCGGCAGGGAAACTGGGGAGGGGACCGGGAAGACAACGGCTCCCGCTTTCCAGTCTTTTCTCTCCTCCTCCTCCTCCTCATCATCATCATCATCATCATCATCCCATGCCGGGAATGGTGTATGGGCAAATTCCGTGCCCAGCCATACGCCCGGGATTTCCACCACCTCCTCCTCCTGCCCCGCGTACGTCTCTGCATCTGACCCCGCGCTCAATCACCCGCGCCACCGTCACCGTCACCTACCACCCGCGCTCGGCCGCAAGCTCCTGGGAGCCCTGCTCTGCCCGAGCCCACCGCTTTCTCCTCCTCCTCCACCTCGCACCCCCTCTTCCGGGTGTCCCTCAGTCTCAGCAGCTGGAGGAGCGTGTGTTTCGGGAGATTGGTCCAGGCTTCTTTGACTCGGCCGATTTCGAGGTGCTGCAGCTGCTGGGTAGGATCAGTGTCATGCGGGTGAGCGGACGGGAGGAGGGAGGGGGAGGAGGGAGGGGGGGAGAGAGGGGGGGAGGGAGGGGAGGAGGGAGGGGAGGAAGGGGAGGGGGGGAGGGAGGGGAGGAAGAGGAGGGGGGGAGGGAGGGGAGGAAGAGGAGGGGGGGAGGGAGGGGAGGAAGGGGAGGGGGGGAGGGAGGGGAGGAAGGGGAGGGAGGGGGAAGGGAAGGAGGAAGGGGAGGAGGGAGGAGGGAAGGTGCTGAATATTAACTCTTCTACATGGCTTCTTCTACCCTTCATTCCCCGACTGTTCAATTACTTGCCGTGTCACCTTCCACCCTCCTCCCCTATCCTCCGACCGAAACACACACGCTCACACGGTCATACACGCACACGTACTCTCCAGGACATCGGGGGCCACACCGAGGGGCTCACCGCCGTCATCGCGTACGCGGCACGCTTCCTGCCCCGCCTGCCCATGCAGCGGCCGCTGACCGTGCTACTCAAGGTACGGGATACGGGATACGGATAGGCCGTACGGGCACGGGTACGGACGTGGGCACGTGTATAATTTCGTGGTCGCGGTGTATTGCCATCTGTAGTTTGCTTTGTCTTGCCTTCCTCTGGGCCCGTTGCGGCCCCCAGATCGTCACATCAACGCCCTCATCCTGCCCACACACTCTGCCTGCCACATCGCCACACTGTCGTACTGTTTCCATACTGCCGTACAGGAGTACCTTCCAGTGGCCCGCGCAGTGGCTTTCAACGAGCTGCTCGTCCTTTCCAAACTCTGCGATCTGCCTCAGGACCAGTACGTGGTACGACACAGGGATTGTGGGTTACCTGGATATATCTGGATTGCCTGTCAGGGATGGCCCTTGCCAAACCATGGATTGCCGTACCCCAGGGGAACCTCCCATACACAGCGCACAACAACCCTCCTCTTCCCCTCCACCTCCCTCCACCTTCCGGGGTGCATCCCTCCGCTCCTCCCCTTCCCTTTTTCCCTGTTTTCCGCTTAATCGCCTTTTCCCCTCCTTCGCCCATCCAAACCGCTTCCCCTCCGCCCCTTTACTCTGCCTCCACCCCCCGTCCCTCCCTCTCTCCTCCCTCCGCCCCTCAGGCCGCCAACCGCCCCACCACCCGTCATCCCCCCTTGGTGCCGCTGCTGGGGTATTTCGTGTCGGCACCCTCAGAGGAAGCCGCGTCGGTATCCCTGGACTCCGAGGCGGACAGTGTGTGGCTTGTGTATCGCTGGGAGGGACTGAGGCCCCTCAACATGTACTTGGGAGATGTACGACCGCCCGAGGGAACACCGTCGTTTTTCAAGCGAAAGTGAGTGAGTGCGCGAGCGAGCGAGTGAGTGAGTGAGTGAGCGCGCGAGGGACAGAGTGAGCGAGCGAGCGAGGGCTGAGCAAGTGAGAGAGCAAGTGAACGAGCGAGTGAGTGACTGAGTGAGTCAGCGAGGGAGTAAGCAAGTGAGTAAGCGAGCGGCAACTGCTAGGTGAGGATGATGTGGATATTGAGGTGGTTTCGGGGCGAGCGAGGGCGCGGTAGCGAATACTCCTACATAGTTGATGTGCGACGAAGTTGGATGGCTTGGTGGTGCCGTACATTCTCCCTTTCTCGCCTTCTCGCCCCTTTCTCCATTTCTGCTCAAGTATACAATTTTGGTTCTGTCGGTGAAAAGGAAGTTCGTGCGGGGCGGTGTCGCCCCGCCATGTTAATCGATCTGTTTCGGTCGCCGAGCCGCAGCGGAGGTGAGTGGCGGCTTGTGTCCCGCTCGACTTCGATTATCGATTCGTCGGTTATTGACCGATTGACCTTTGTCATTATGCGGCATGCATGGCCGTTTCATCTTCTTCCCGCATCGTGCACTTATAATATGTTCGTACGTTCGTACGTCCAGGGAGGTGGCCGAGGCAGAGGCGTGGCGTGCTCGTCACTCCTGGCTGCGAGCCGTGTCTCGTGCTCTGCTGGGTGCCGTGGCGCACTGCCATGGCGCGGGAGTGACCCACGGGTCGATCTCTAGCGGCACCGTGTTTTTGAGCTCCACTCGGGATGAGGACGCGGAATCGCTGTTCGTAAAACTGGACAACTTTGGATTCGGTCGCCTAGACCCCGGGGGTGGGTGGGTGGTGGGGAAGAGGGAGATTTGGCTGGGAGTGATGAGAGTGATTACTTGGGGAGTGATTACTTGGGGATTTTAGGGTTGCAGGAGGGTTGGGGAGGTTGGGATGTGGGTAAGAGGCAAGTGCATTTAGGGGAAGTGGGTGCGGGGGTTGTACGGGATTTTTGGGGTTGAGTTTCAGAGCCGTAGGGAGGGGACGGTTTTGGCGGTTTAGCGCGGTACAGGTCTCTCTGTCCATCTTTCTTTCTGATCGTCAAGATCGTCAAGGTCGTCAGCATCGCCAGATCAGGAAGTTTAGGATCTTGGAAAAAAACTGCGAGAACTGTGTTGGGGGGGAAAACCTGTCGCTCCCGCTCGAACTGACACTCTTTCGCTCACGTGTCGTCCACTACCGCCATTGCAACGTGTTGCCTGTTCACCAGGCCCTCTGGGTCTGGCCACTCCACAGTTGCCTAATTTGGACATTGACAGCACCTCAAGGAATGAGGGCCGAAAACATGACCTGCAGGTATACGCGCGCGCGCGTGTGTATGTATGTGTGTATATGTGTGTATATCTGCTACATATGGATCCGGGCCTGACGCTGGCCAGGGGCACCTGACCCGGAAGGTCGGTAACGGGAATGAGCGACCGCCGAAGCACTCCGCCATTGGAGGGACGTTTGGTTCGTCGGTATGTCGGTCAGAATCCTAACCCTCCTCTATGCTCTACAGCTCTACAGCTGCGCGATCTGCCAATGCACTCACACCGGTGCCAATAGCGCCACCCTATCGTTGCGAATCCTGCCGCCGCCCGGTTCCGTTATCCAACCACCGTCTGGGCCCGGGGTCTGTATTCCAGATGGAACAGTCGGGTCCGAGAGCCCTTCTGCAGTATTTATTCCTCTTCTGTCACTGCTTTCTGCGGCAGTGTTTAGGTCTTTGTATGGTGAGAGCTCCCACCCACCAGCCGCCCAGCGCACTGGAGGAACCCAGTGTCTCATCCCAGCATTCGCACACCTAATCTATTTCGCCCGGGGGAAAAACCAGCGGTGGGATCCAAACCCATATCTTCCATAATATGTGTGTATGTATATGTGTGTGTGTGTTGGGGGGGGGTGGAGGAGGGTTACAGTCTGCAGCGGAGCGTGTGGACTTAGGTGACAACTTAAAAGGTGTTCATTAGATATTCTTTCCAACCGCGCCAACCAACAACCGCCAACCACCATCTCCAATCACCAAACGTTTCCGGCGAACATTGAAGTATCCCGCTCCCTCCAAAACCGAACTCCCGCCCCCCCCACCAACCCGCAAGCCCCCCCACCCCGCCTCCCCTCAGGCAACCGCCCTGACTCTCCTGGAAGCCTATTCCGCCGCCACCGCCACCTCCCCCTCCGGCGCCCTGGCGCGCACCTCGCTGACTAGGCTGCTGTTTGAAATCTACTGGGACGACATGGCGGCGTTTCGACAGTATTGTGCAGATGATCCGCCATTGAGTCGTCTGGTGGCCTTTCTGGACGAGGGCGACCGGGGAGGCTGGGACTTCGTCGCGCAGCTGGTTCGAGGCAATCGGGGCGCTTCTGAGCTGCTGTTGCACCCGTTCCTGCAGCTGTTGTGACGGACTTTGTTGGATTCGGATTTTGCCCTTCAAAGGTGGTGAAAGGCGTGAGATGCGGACGGAGAGGTTAGCAAAGGAAGGCGCCGGGTATTTTGTGGGTTTTAGGATTTGGAAGGGGCGCGACGTATGCAGGGTTGCGTTGAAGCTGGCGTGAAGGATGAGGTTTGGGCTCTTTGGGCGGGGCCCCAGCGCGAAGCGCCCGGGGGGGACCCGCTCTGTAGGATTGCCCATGTCCGTGTGGCCGTGTGTGTGTAACGGACCAAACATAATATCTCGCCCGGCTGAAACGCGTTATTGGTAATATATAGCATTCTCTATTGCAAGGTATCTCGCCTGTAGCCAATAAAAATCGTATGAGCACAAAAAGTTTGGCTGCCTCCATTGACCGACCTCGGAGGTCAAAGTCACATCAACGCCTCTCGGGCTAAATTTAATCTCAAAAGGTGCCGCGTATCTCATAATGGAATTCTGAGATGACGGCGTATGATAACTTGAACACCCAGCTTGTGTTACCATTTGCCCGCACGGGCATTCCGACTTGCGGTCTGCCGCACTGTCCATGGACGCGATTCGCGTGGCACCCTCAGGCGGTGCTGATGATTCCGCCGGTACAAGCATAGCTCCCACAGTCAGCACTGCTGCAACAAGCACACCTCCCACCGCGTTGACAGTACCCATCGATTGTCACACGTGCCGCGCTAGCTACCGGCCTGTACGGATGCAGGGGGCCCCCGCCCTTTTTCCGACTTCGAGGAAGCGGACACAGCTTTTTGGGGATGTCTGTCTGGTCTTTGTGTTGTGTGTGTGTTTGAGATATTCGGGGGCCTTGGCTGTCGGATGCCCGGGGTTTGAAATTTCGAATTTGAATTGTGGTCGCACGCATGTAAAAGGATGCGGCCCTCTTTTGCACTGAATTGTATGTATGTATGTATGTATCTATCACCTGTGTACGAACTCGCGCTTTTTAATTGAGTCTTTGGGCCGTGAGTTGCGCATATGAGTGAGTGAGTAGAGAGTGGTAAGTTCGTGAGACAATCCGTCAATACATAAATCGGGTCGCGGGAGATGCCCGGGCTTTTCCCGCACCCCAGGTTGCGAGAGTCTCCAGCAGGGGTATGAGTCGGCGTGTATACGGTTGTGCTTTGACCTGGCTACGGTCCACAACAACTGCGTGTAGATGCGGGGGGGGCAACGCTCGGTGATTTTCATTTATTGCTGCTAAGGGCACAAGGGTTAAAAAGGCAGTTGGGGAACACGAAGGGGAAAAGTTGAACGTTGTGCTGTTTAGGTAGTAGTAGTAGTCCTCCAGGGCCCCCCTTTAACCTCCATAACACGCCCGCGGGAAACCACTGGAGATGTCCTGAAAACTGAGAAACATACATACATACGTACGTACGTATCTCTTCATGTTCTACAACTTCTGGTCGCACCCTTCGATTAATGTCCACCGTCATCGCCTGATTGAGGGGCGGCCAGGGCGAGGGGGCCCCGAGGGCTCCACCAACAGCCCCTCCGCCACTACACTACCTCCCTCCACGATCTCTCACCTCGACAAAGTGTGTATGTAGCTCCACCAGCGGCCCCCTTTCCCTTGGAGGCAGTTCCCTGCTCTCCCCTGCGAGAGGGGCACCCTAATCCATCCACCCCATCCGACTTCAGAATGTATTCGTGTGTATATGTACACACATTGTATATTACATACACACACATATATATGTATTGCATATTAGCTGTTTTCTTCTGTGGCTGTGGCTGCGTAGGTAGTTGTGTAGCTGCTGCCGCGGCATGCGACCACTACCACCTCTGTGTGTGTGCGCCTGTGTGTGTACAAATAGGGAGATCCCAAACAACCACCACACTGGAAGGCTGCTCCTTCTTCTCGCTCCCTTAATAATCCATCCGCCCAACACGACCGCCATCGGCAACCTGGAGGCGAAAGCCGCCTTGTAGCCCTCCCGCACCACCACCATCGCCATCCCGCGAAGCATTTCATTTCGGTTTGGTCGGTGACGGTTTGACTACTTCTAGACGGTTGGTCGGTTTCCCGCCGAGGCGGGGTCTTTCCCAACAGCAGCGCCAGGGGAGGAGGTGGTCTTGCTGCCCTAGCTCCTCGATAAGGACAACTCACACACACGCAGACACACACGCAGACACACACGCACACATTGGCTTGCGGGAGCCCTACAGGATTTTAAAAAGGGCCAGGCGGATGACCTCCGAGGAAATCCGTCTGTCCGCAAGTGGTTCCATCATCCGCGGGCGGGGGCCCGCCCAGGGTGACGGTGAGGGTGAGACAACTCACACAGAAAAGGCGCAAGTATACCGCCGGCACCTCTCCTCCCTCCTTCATCACACACACACACACACACAGATGCCGTCAGGCCTTCCGTCCAACAAGAAGTGTCTACCCTGCACCTCATGAACAGCATCACCCCCACCCCCACCACCACCATCACCACTAACAAAACCGGCGCAAGGCCGCAAAATCCCTAGAGAGAATCCCCATCCATCTCCACTCCACTGAATCCAGTTCCAACCAGTCGGTTGAATTCCCAACCGTCGTGCTAACTAACTAGCCATCTGGCTGTCTAGACTCTGTACCGGGCTCCCCGCATCACCCATCGAAGTCCGAGCGCCAGTACTGCGACGTGCCGGGGTACATGATGTCTGCGTTTGGTGGAAAAAAGGGGGGAAGGGGGAGAGGTGGGAAAGAGAGAGCGAGAAGAGAGAACGGGGAGGGAAAGACGAACCACGAACGAGCAACCAGGTGATGCCAAGGATATGCAGAGACTGATACGCCAGAAGAAAGGGTATATGCGTGAAATCGAAGAGGTGCAGCTGGGTTATGGAGAGGAGAGGTGGTCCAAACCCCGGGGCTTGGCAGTTGCGTGTTGTGAGCTGGACACACGCAAATGCTGATGGTGGTAACGGTAACGGTAACAGTAGCGCTAACGGTAATAACAAAAAATACCCCTACAATCCCAAAGGCCGGCTCTACACATCACTGGCCGGCTCTGCTTCGCATCGTCGCCATGCACATGCAAAACAATGTGTTTCAGTGTAATGCAAACAACCTCTTCGGGGGATGGTGGTCTTGATAACCAAAAAGGCAACAGGCCCCCAGGCCGCCAGGGCGCCCTTCAGGTTCCAGCTGCGCCGTGCGGCAGCGTCATGTCCCTCCGAAACCACCACGAGCCCCCCCCTCCTTCCCACGCACCCGCTAGCCCAACGAAGCACCCGCGCGAGACGCTCATGTCGTGACGTTTCAGGACACAGCTGGTGTGGTGTTGGGGTTGGGGTTGCTGCCACTTCCTGCCCCCTCCTCCCTCCCCTCCTCCCCTCCTCCCTCTCCTCTCTCTCCTCCTCCCTCCCTCCCCTCCCTTTCCCCCTCCCCTCCCCTCCCCCTCACTGGTCGGCAGCGGCTGCTCCTCGTCCGCCCACAGCCCCAGCTCCGCAATCTCGGAGCCCATCTTCTCCCAATCCTTGAACACCACCCGCTCCTCCTTGGGCTCCAATACCTGAAGGGGGGCGGGGAAGAAGGGTGAAGAAAGAGATAAGAGAGGGGGGGCGAATGGTAACATCACAGGGTGCGGCCACTTCAACCACCAGTGGGGAGATCACGACCTCACGATCCTCCGCCTCCCCCAAACCAGGACGATATGCCACTAGAGGAGGCGCCCAAGAGATGGAGGCCCCCCTTCCCCTAGATTGAGGAACCCAAGCGACTAACAACCCATTTCAACTAGTCACAGGAGTCGGTGTTGTTATTGTTGTTAGTATTGATGTTGTTGTTAGTATTGATGTTGTTGGTGTTGTTCGTGTCGGTGTGGTGTTGGGGTAAGGGAACCGCGGGGGTGGGGGGGAAGGGGGGAGGACGTTGAACACATTTTACTCCCCCCCCTCCGTGAGCTCCGGACCGCCCGGGGGGGGGCCCCTCGGGACACCTCACCCCCTACCTCGCTTGTCAATAAAGAAAACCGCCCATTACAACAAAGAAGCCGTACGTACCGTGTCAATAAGGCCGTACGTCACGGCTTCGTACGGGTTGAAGTACCGCGGCCGAATGAAGTCCTCCATGATCTGCTCTTCCGTTTTCTTGGTACACACCGCCAGGTACTTGGCCTGGTTTATAGGGTGGTGGGAGAAAACATATGTATGTACATATGTATGTATGTGCCGCCGCGAGGGGAGGGGGACCCCCGAGTGCGTCGAAGATGAAAGACACGCCACCATACACACCCACGCGTACATCCCCCTTGATGCACCGGTAGCGCTGGAGATGTATCCCGGGTCCTATCCGTCAATTCTCCCTCCTAACCAAAATACCCCTCCCCCCAACTGAATCCTTTCCCCCTTCCTCGCCCTGATATCCCCGTCGCATTTTCATCTTCATTCCACCCACCCACCTACACGCCCACCTACACGCCTCGCAGCACGCATGATCCATCCTACGGGGCGCTTCCATTAACCAAACCACACCTCCCTGGACCCCCTCCCTCCCCCTCCTCCCCCCCTTAACCCTCCTCCAACATCTCCATTTCCCTCGGGTCCACACACCCCTCCCTTCCCCTACCCCTTCCCCCCATGAAAGATATACCATTTGCCGCCCCCGTTGGCGGCCCCTGACTGCTCCATCCCCCACCGCATCCCCACCAGCACCAGCACCGGCACTCCATCCCCAGTCTTCCCGGCCCCTTTGACCCCCCCCCAAACACCTCGAGATACACCCCCGGCCCCCCCACACACACCGGCAGTTCAATTCTGATTTCCTCGCATATGATTACCCCTCACATACACAATACATACATACATACCCACCATGGTCTGGGTCTTCTCCCTGGTTATTTTCCGGTATATGTCAATGTCCGAGGCCTGCATGCCGCTGAGCCGCTGCAGGGGCTGTCGGAGCATGATGGTTGAGGAGCGAAGGGCCGCGCGCTTGCCCTGGCGGGGAGGGAGGGCGGCCGGGCGGCGGGTCGGAGGAGAGGAGGACGAGGAAGCGCGGATTGGAAGCGGTGAAAGAAAAACCCATACACGACACGACACGGCACGGCACGATGGGTCAACTGCCGACGTGGTCTCCTCAGTCGTGCTGCTGGTGGTTGCGGTGGTAGTTAGGGTGGTTGACGGGGGTCGGTGGCCGTGTGCGTGTGCGGGTGACCGGGAGGGAGAATACACAGGAGGGAGCAACACCCCCAATGACCGAACGCCGAGATGAGGCACTCCCCCCAAAACCCCCTCTACACACAAACACACACACACGCGCACAGGGACCGTCCAGTAGCTCCGGGGCAGCAGGTGTGTACGGCAGCCGTACACCCTACTCATCATCCTGCACAAGAGCCCCGTGTCCCCAACCTCAAATCCACTCCCCCCCCTCTGTGCGCCCGGCCCCTACTGCCCGGCAGCCCGACCGCGCGGTAACCCACATGTCAGCAATGTCACACAACGCAACCCCCCTTCTTCAAACCCACTTTCAAACTGCACTATCTACTGATTAAATATGTAAGTATGTCTGTCTGTCTATCTGCGTGTATGTATGCATTTATGTAGCCATGTGTATCCCCCCTACGCAGGTGGTACGTCCTGTGCTGTGCACGTGACCACGTGTCGCGCACGTGCAACTTGCCCCAGGCAATCTGTCCGCCAGCTCAACAGCTTCCCACCCCCGGACAGTGAGGGACAGTGAGGGCATACTGGACCCCTGACCATCACCTCACCCCACTACACACCACACCTCGAACCCGACCCACAGCATTTCCAGCACCCCTGCGTGCATGCCTGTCCGTGCACACGCACACTACAATGATTGCGTTGGCATCTGACCGGTGTGGCTGCTCCTTAAGATTTCCCCCCTCCCGCGCGCCCCAAACTTCTAAAAGGGTGGGTCACGCAGTCACAGCCAGCGCAGCCATCACACACATAAATATACGCACAAAAATTAACACAAGCACACAAGCACATACACACATACACGTTGGCGCCGCTATGCACGTGTCAACCTCCTCCCGAGTTCTCTCCCCACGTTCCGATCAAACTGAGTCACCCTACCGGCGTCCCCGCGCTCAGCAGCAGCGCTGCTTCTCCAAATGCATTTCCAACGCACAGCGTGTAGATCGGGCAGAACTTTTGAACGCCCTTCATCATGTGGTACACCGCAACCGCCTCATGCTCGTTCCCGAACTTTGTCGTGCTTTTCTGTAAGGACAAGTTTGGCATGGAATAAATCGGCTAGTCAGCTCTGCAAGAGCGAGCTGGGCGAGAGCTATCGAGCGATGCAAAGAGAGCGAGAATGCTGCCACCGCTCACCGCGATGCCGGTGGAGTTGATGTAGAAAAAAATTGGATCGGGGGCCTCTTGTACAAGCACGAAAAGCTGCGCTGTGAGCAGCTCCGCTACCGAGGAGTCGATCGGCATGCCCTGCACCACAACCCCATAAGCTGTTGAAAGGCGCCCCATACCACTGCCAGGTGCATCGCAAGATGTCGCAGGCGCACCAGATACATAATACGCTCCGTAAATAGCCGTGTGGCGAGGTCCGGTGGCGGCCCAGCCTCCTTCCACATCTTCTTCCGGAGATGCGCTAACTTACGCTGCATACGGAGACAGCAAGGAAGATGTAGACTTAGGGGGAACTCATTATGCATTCTGCTGCTCCGGTCTTTGCTATTCACGCACCGCTTGGACAATGACGCTCCCTCGCCGTGAGCCATAGGACGGCCGACCACAGGAAATCGGATGACGAGGTGTTAGGTGTTTTCCTACGATTCCCGGGCAACGGCCCAGGCATCCCGCCGGGCTGCCGGCCAATCTCTGCATAACTTCACTATCCTGCCCTGGCCTATCGCAGCATGCGCGTTAAATTATCTTGATTTACAACGTCAAACGTCGCGTAGAATGAAGATCGAGCGCACTATGCTGCCGATGACTGAGAGACGTGCATCGAAACCAAAGCGACGACGACGGACAAAGGGCCCTGTGCCACCGTCTACTACCCTTGAACGTCTTTATCAAATGTGAAACTTCATAGACCTTTATATAGCTTCCAGCACGCAAGGCAGCAGTTGTTTCCTATAGATTTGGCACTGTAAGCGGAGCATCCCTCAGCGACCAACGGGAGAGGTCGTGCACAGTGATGAAACACGATGAACGCAATGAAACATACAAGTCAGCCAGCCAAAAGGGGTAGTGATAGACAGATTAGGGTATACCACCCCCGAGCAAGCCGGGACTCCGTCAGCCACGGACCGCGGGCCAGAAAAGCCTGACGGCGTGTTGGTGCTACTGCTGCGTAGGCATAAGGTCCATCCCCGCAAGTGCACAAGGATGAAGGATAAATATCTGCGACGGAGATCATCCAAACGCAAATGCGGAAGGGCGACGCCTGCCGGCTGTACGGCAATCAGCTTCCGTCCCTTTGCGTCCTCTCATGTATATGAGTGTGTATGTTTGTGTGTGTGTCTCTTGGTTCAACTTAACTTTCCCAATCACACCGTGCACGAAGCTCCGCCCTGTTGGCCGGGGACTGTTTCAGCAGGCGAATTCACATAACAGCAATAACAGTAACAGCGGTGGGTCTGTAATGGTATGGGTATTTCTGAGGCACCCGGCAGCCGTGCCGTATGGGCCCTGGTGCATTTGAAGGGTAAGTGGCCAGCTTGGAAAGTTAGGGCGGCTTGCCAAGCCTGCTACCTAGCCATCGCTACCCTTAAAAAGAAGAACGGATGCGGCTTAGGGTTACGAGGACTCGTCCGGAATCATGCAGCAGGTGACGAGCAGTGTGTTCCTCCTTCCTTGGATGGGGCTACAAGGGGCGAATCCCCGTCGTGGGGACTTGCATGCGAAAGGGAAGAGAACCTTCAAGTCATGAACTCGAGGTGGATAAAACTGCTGGATGAGATGCTGCTGCTATGCTTAATTAGTTAAAGAGTGCTTGTGAAGGGAGGGAGGTTGAAGTTGTGCGCGGCCAATTGTGCTCCGCAGCCGGGGCAGCTAGGGCCGGCTTCTGCGTGCGATTGCGAACTATTGCCGCGCCTGCCGCTGCTGCTGCTCCTGCAGTGCAATTCATCCTGTGCGGCGTCCCGCTGCGGTTTGCCGACTGCGGCAGATCATCGTCTGCTAGAGTCCGGGAAATGGGTGAACATCGCCCAGCCGTACAAGGCTGTACACGGGGTACAGGCACGGCGGAGAACCTGCCCATGGCTACCCCAAGACGGATCTATCAGACGCGCGTCGTGAGAGAGCACTGATTTGACTCTCAAGGAAATGTTCCGGGAAGTAATCCGAGGGCGTAGGCGTCGCATAGAGCCATGGGTAGCTGTGCTCCTCTTCCAGCTTCTCGAAAGAATGGTGGAGCAAAATCACATACTTTATGTAACAGTTGCGTTATTCGCAGGCAAGTGCCGCGATGTTGCCAAGCCTCGCATAGCTATTCAGATCTGCCTGAATTACTGAATTTATGCTTCCTTCTTCCCATTCCGGACGGTAACCCAATAGTAAATGTTCTTGTTTACTGTGGAGGAGTTGCAAGTTCAAACTTCAGCCTGCAGCCTCGGCTCATCCTCGAGGTGCGAATGGCTAGGCTATCCTAATAACTTTCTGATATCAAGTAAGATTTTTATGCGCAAGTGCTGTTCCTGAAAATTAGTAAGAAAGTTTCAATTTTTTCAGACTATGGCGATGCTATGTTGCTACCCGCAGGAGGGTCAGTGGTGGCGGCTCATAACTTCCGGATTTCTCCATATGGATGAGGTGCGACTGGAACGGGAAACCACAAGTGCCTTTTGACTTGCTGCTATCGGTGCTTTCCTTGTTTCGCTGCCAGCTCGCGTTTTGAGGTACTGCCGTACCGCAACACAAGGCTTGCCGTTCCGGCCCGTCCACTGCCTCCCGGCTCACCCGTTCCCTTGCATGGTGTAGTACCGCATCTGGCCCCATAATATGTCACTATCGCATGACACCTCCATGGGTGTCCTGGCGTGGAATTCTTCGTACCACGTCGTATAATAGGGCTTATAGGCATCCATTCAAACCCATGTAACCATATACTAACCAAGTCCGATTCGGGTGAAACAAGAATTTACGTGTCCAGATTATAAAGATCTACATGTTTATATAAGGCTCGTTTAGGACGCATACGTGTATTAAAATGATTGCGTCGTACATGGAGTTGATGATGGTGTCAGTTTTTCCGTTATATGTCTCACCAACAAACTCCCCAAACCCCTCTGCCACTTAACAACGCCTCTCTTCAGTGGCACTTGTACTTCAACATGTCCAGCCTCGTCTGGAAGGTACGGCAGGTGTACGGCAGGAAATCTGTCCGGTCGTATACAGATTTTGGTCCACGTATTCTTTTCAAATGGAAAACACGCACACGAGCACATGTACTTACTCCCCCGTTGCAGTATATGATATATGATATATATGATATATATGATATATATCATATATGGTTCTTTTTCTTTTTGTGGTGGTTTGCATGTGTGTGTATATATACATATAATATACATACATACATGTTTACATACATACATACATACATACATACATACATACATACATACATACATACATACATACATACATAGCTCATATGCATCTTGCTAGGGAAGCCGCTAAAACATCAGGAAAGTTATTGGATGAAATAAAACCTATGTATGTATGTATGCATGTATGTATGTATGTATGTCTACATATGTATGTACATTTACGCGCGCAAACCGAACTGGCTTTCTGGGCTGGGCGGAAGCCGAGCTGAGAGCGGGTGATTGCGGCTGCCACAATGCCTGCTGCTGCCACCGTGGCGCCACGTTGGCGCGCAGGGTATTCATTTGGAGCGCCGCTACGGCCACAAATTGTTCGCACTGTTGGTCGCGGAGATGCTGCTGCTGTCTCACGGACTGTACGTGCTCGTCACGCTGCTGCTGTGCAGCGTGTCCGAACACAGGTAGGTGGGTGACACGTCTCGTCCCGGCGGGTGTTGAGGGAAATGTCAGAGGAGCTGCTTGGGGCCGTGGTGGTTGGTGGTTGGTAGTTGGTGGTTGTGATATTCGCGGCGCGAGTGGGGAGATGGAATACGAGGGGGGCTTGCGTTGTGACCCGACCTAGGGAGCCCAATAGGGGTTGTGCGGCGACTATTGGGGGGTAGAAGAGGGGTAGAAACACATGTTATCGTCACCTACGGCCACCACAACCACCACACAACCACCACACAACCACCACACAACCACCAAGGGAAACATGCACACCTTAAACCTGCATAAGTTTGCCGTACCGTACGGAAGTGCCGCTGGTGGAGCATTGTATGATCAATCTGTGACCTTTCAATCTAGCAGACCTCCTGGCTGGGGCGGACGTGTATGCCCGTGGCCCTCAGTCACCCCGCTCCGCCCACCTCCTCCCGTCTCACCTCCCGCCGCGGCGACTCCTGCTACTGCTACTGCTATTGCTGCGGCCCCTGTCCATAATGGAATTGATTTGTACGGCGGCGACGTGTACGGCACCCAGGCACATTTATTATCATCAGCACGCGGTGGGCTTCTCGGCGGTGCTTTTTGGACTCAAGGTAAGGAGGCAAGTCAGTCTGTATGTCTGTATATCTGTATTGGGTCTGTCTGTCCATCTGTCTGCACGCATCCTGTGTTGTGTTGTGTTGTGGGGTGGGTGGGGTGTTATTATTGTTTGCTGTTGTGGTTGTTGTTGTTGGCGCGCACCTCACTCACTCACGCCAGCCGGGGGGCTCTCCGAGCCCCTGGCTAAGCAACACAGCGGCGCAGAAGACTGCAAGGCGGTTATTGGCAATTGTTGATGAGGGGCTTATGCGCCATGGCGTGGTGGCTGCCTGTCGTATCAGCCACGCATGATGCAGATCGCATCCGGGAAATTAAAATAATTCCATACAACCCCCGTGTCCACCCCTCCCCGCCCACTCCCCGCCCCACGGGAGAACTTACCGGGGGGCGCGTTCCGCACAGTCCGGTGTAAGATAAGCTCACATGTCAACATACATGACTACGGCCTTCGAAACCATTTCTCCGAAACCATTCCTCCTGCAGTTTACCTTCGAAAGCAGCTCCATTCCATTCCTCCCTTCACCCCTTCCTTCAGCGGCAGGGGGTGGTTATATTTTCTAAACGCCTCACACACCCCGTGTGCCCCCCGGCGTGTATTTCCTCCACCCTCTCTGACGCCACCACTCATAATGATCGTATCAGACAATCTTAATGTACAACACGCCCGGGTACGACGAGATCTTTGGTGTACGGGTCCCCACCAAGGTGCGCACTAGGGTTTTTTTGTGTGTCCACGTGTGGAATGAAATGTAAGAAAGCGATCCAAGCTACTTAGGCACGGATGGTTGTACGGCACAGTGTACGGCAGCAAGGGGAAGTAGGAGACGGCAGTGGGTAAAAAGGACAGTGTTTGTTGTGAGAAAAAATGCAATGGAAATCGCCTCTCCCACTGGTCTTATTTTAACATTGCGGCTGCTTAACAGATTTTTCCATTTCTCGGAATGTAAAAGTTTTTAGAGTCCTAGGATGATGGATCGTACTACGCGGGTAGGCAACGACTGCCGTACAACTGTATCGTACATGATTTGTATTCGGTTACGGAGCTATTTCCGCTCTCGGACTCCCCTCCAACTTGACTGCCGCTTTTCTCCTCTTCCCCGCCCCGCCCTCCCCCTCCTCACCTCCCTGACTCCGACCCCTTCCAGCTAACTCGCTCACCCCTCCCTGCTTGGTGCCCCCACGTATCCACATCACGTACGACTCCGTCCACGTACCTGTGTACGACCTGCAGTACGCTTGCTGGGCCGAGCTTGTATTGATATGGGTTCTGGTGCCCAAATCCTCTTTCATCGGCCACCTGTGTGGCATCCTGGCGGGCGGCCTACACGCTCAGTATCTGGAGCCAAGCCTTAGGCGGTGGTGGCCGCGTGTCAGGGTTTTGCAGGCCCGGGTGAGTGGTAGTTCGTCACCCCCGGGGGGCCCTCGGGGCTTGCCAGGGTGCCCACTGCGTGTCGTTAGAGCCCTGTTTATGTATTTTGGGGTTTTAGCTCGCATCTGATTTGGGCATTTAAAGATGTTCGATTTGAAGTTTGGTCGGAAGTTGCGTGGTGGGTCTGCTTGATCGTGTGCATGTCCGTACGTGTACGAACCTGCTCGTACAGCCGTACAGGCTTATGAAAGTCGTGTCCGGAACCATCGATGTCATGATCTCACGACATGGGTCTGTCGTTGCAGGGATGCCGTTCTCCACCCCTAAACCCGTACAGTATTCATTTGTACGACGTGCAACACCTGTACGGCACTGTTACTGCATTTTCGCTTTGCACATCGCGCCTAGCCGGCCTTACCACACACGCACACACCCTTTCTTAGTTTCGCTTTGCCAATCGCCAACATGTGTTCGTAAGTGTTGGCACTAACAATTATATTCTAAACCCTAAGTTACCCCCCTTTACGCTGCGTAACGGCGCCGTACAAATCCATAGAGGCCAGCAGGCATGCGTGGCCCCTCCCCCTCCCCCTGCCCTTCCCTCCCCTTCCCAGCGTTGGCGACCGCATTACGCTCATGCACCTCTCCTCTCATAGTCCTGTCGTACGCGTGTGTATTTCTAGTCCCCCATCCGACTCCTTCTCCTCCACTCCCCTCTCCCTCACCCAGATTCCTTTCTTCCACCCCGAAAACCCGCCGTACAGATCCAAAACTGGTGGCGGCTACGGCGAACTGCTCGTGCCGTACTTCACCGGCCACGACAGTTCCCACGCAGCACGGAAGGGGGTCACTGGCAAGAGGGGGGGGGAGGGGGGGGGCTCCCCGACCCCCAGGGGAGAGGTTCGCTCAGACAAACCAGTACTCGGTACGGCGCCACAAGCGATAGCAGCGACAGCGACAGTGACTCCGAGCCGCCGAGTGTACGACAGGCGGCGGTTAATGATGAAGTACGGCGGAGATGGATTGGCCGCTACGGTAATACCCCGGCAGCGACACAGGTAATGTGGGAGGACGAAACGGGGGGACTGGGGCCCCCTTGGGGGGGGGGGGGCACCAGCTCAGAGGGGGTGTGTGAGGGAGGTTGGTTCGCTTTTACCGCCAAAATCGCACCGCACTGCACCGCACTGCGGCCATCATCATCTTAGATTATTCCTTCCCTTTCCTACCTCTAACGTCATGCCCTCCCATTCTGTACGACATTCCGTACCAATGCATGCCGTACTATCCAACAGCGACGTGGCGGCGGCACCTCCTTGCTTCAGGCTCAGAGCCGGCAGTTTTTTAATGGAATAGGTCATACAACCGGCTCCTCCGGGAACCCTGTACGACAATCCCCTATGTCCATGGATCCCAACGGCCGGGGTCACCCACCACGTGGCGGCGGCGGCGGTGGCGGCGGCGGCGCAGCTGATGGTGGCGAACATGTCCGGAAGGTTCCTTCCGTAGAGGAGTTGCGGCAGTTACGGTTGGAGCGGTTAGGACGGTTAGAGAAGTCAAGAAAGGGTTCACGTCGGTAACTTGATATGGCTGAAGCTGTAGCAGTAGCGCTGGCAGTGGCAGCGGTATTGGTAATAATAGGTAGAGGAGCAGTAGCAACAGTAGTGAGTGGCAGCGGAAAGCGTGATGTCTCCAAGTTGTACGGCGGCCAGGCGCCATCAGTGGCGGCACCGGCGGTCGCAATCATGTATCAGTGTACGACGAACCTAAAAGATTCCGCGTGCATTCCTTGCTGATCCATATCTTTGCAAATTACTGTTTAAACGTGATATTGGAGTTTTGTCGTACGGAGGCACATTCGGAGGACTATCTGCAGGCCTGTCGTACCACTACCTCGTCATTCTAAGTATTAGTAGCTTCAACATCAGCAACGTCATTTTCCTATAAGGGTATACAGACAGACAGACGGACAGACAGACAGACAATTGGACAGACAGATGGATAGACAGACAGACAGACAGATGGACACGCACGCATGGCGGCTCAGGTTGAAGGACGTGGACTACCCATTTAGGTTGGATGACGTCACATCATACCGTACAGGTCCGGATCGTGAATTGGATCCGGACCTGGTGCAGTGGATTCAGCAGTGGATTCAGATCCTCACCGTTTTACAGCTACCGGCAACCCCCCGGTCTGTCGTACTGTCCATCACTGGCCATGAAAGGCCTACCAGGCGAAACCCGTGTACCGCACCCGATGCCGCGCCGAAACAATACACACATAGACAAAGCCCCACGCCCATCCCTGGAGCATTTCTGAGCGGTGCGGCCGCGCAGACACAGCCTGCATGGCCCTGGGAGGCCGTTCCTCCCCTCGATCCGTCCCTACACCCCCTCCTCCGCCCTGCTCGAGCCCTGCGCTAGCTCAACCGCTCAAAATGCGCTCAAGCTGCGAGTTCCACTGTCTCCGTGCATTGTAACGCTTCTCCTGAAATCGATAGGATTGGGTGGTCCGGTCCCACCTTATACCAGCCCCTCCGCGGGATGCCCAGCGCCGTGAAAGAGTGTAAGTGTGCCCGTGACATCGTCCAGCACTCGCGGGCCGGACCTCTCTACCGCTGCGGCTACAAGCCCTGTCGCCGGGTTTCGGCCCTGCGTTTGCTTTACTCCTCATTCCCCGGCGCGTTCAGCGCAGCAGGCCCCGCTTGGGGCCCCCCTCCCCCCATCAATCTGGCGGGAAGAAGTCCGTCATCCGCCTCTGCCTGGGGCCCTGCACCTGGCTCTGTTGCGCTGGCTGCTGCTGCGGGGGCGGCGACGGCTCTTGGTTCGCCGCTAATCCCTCACTCCTACCGGCTGCCCTAAGGCAGCAGCATCTAAACACTTCCATGGCAGATGGGGCCGCTAAGGCAAAGTCGCTTCCCCAGGGACCTGCTCACAGCCGGCTGGAGGCTGTACCAGCCAGAGCTGCTTCCGGGTGATGCCTCTTGTTGAAGAGACGGTGTCTCTCTGGAACCTAGCAGACACGGCTTAGAGTCATTGGCCGTTACATGTAGTTGGGAGGTCCGCGACCTGCCACCGACAGCCCCTTGCTTGGGTGCAAACTTAAAGTCTGAGGTGCCGTTACGGGCACACAGCAGGGGCTTAAGGCTTGGGTAGCCTGTCCTGACGGGCGGCCTGTCAGTATTCTGGCACCTGACAGCTGCCACTCGCGACAGCCTTACGTGCGGCCTTTCACAAGCCACGGGGCGACACGGCACACCCCCTTCGCACCAACATGCCCCCTCGAGTCGCACCAGGGGCCTGACTGCAAACTGCATGAGGCACTGAAGAGCTCCCTCGGCCGCCAAGTCCGCGGACCAGGCCGGCTGCGCAACACTCAGCAGACACAATCGCAGCTTGCCAGCCTTCAGCCTGTTGGCTTTGCGGTCTGGTGCCGCAGTCCAAACACACACGGAAAACAGCACCGTACACACTGCCTACTGTGCCCCTTCAGGCATTGACCTGCCCATTCGGGCGCCTGCCCACACACCCTTGGCAGCCCCCCTCAAAGCCTAGCTCGACACACTTCCCCAAAGCCCTCAGCGCTTTTCCACTCCTTCTTCGCACGGTGCTCTGGCGATACAAGTGACGCCCAGTGCTGTGCGGCAGCGCAGGAACTTGATCTCGCCCAGTGCCTTGGTGAGCATGTCTGCTACCATGTTGTCGGAGGTGCAATAGCTGAGCTTCACCTCACCACACGCGGCCCTTTCGCGCAAGATATGGAGGTGCACGTCGATGTGCTTGGAGCGCACCGACGTGATGGGGTTGTTGCCGAGGCTGAGCGCGCCTTGTGAATCCAGCTGGATGTTGACGGCGCCAGGGGACAGATCCAGGTCGCTCGCCAGCTTGCGCAGCCACAGTGCTTCGCGCACGGCTGCCACGGCGGCCTGGTGCTTGTCCTCCACGGACGAGGCAGCCACGGTGCGCTGCAACTGGCTGCTCCAGCTGATCGCCGTGCTGCCGAGCAAGAACGCATAGCCCGTGGTGGACCGGCGGGTGGCTGGGTCGCCGGCCCAGTCCGTGTCGCTGTACCCGCCGAAGTTGGTTGTTGCCCCACTCGATCTGCCGTGGCGCGCCGGCGGGGACATGGTTGTGCAGCAGGGAGCGGTCACCCGTGAGGTGGTGCGGTGAGCCAGAGTCGAGGATGAGCTGCTGCCACTGCCGTCGATGGCCAGCACTGTGGCACGGCTCTGGCGTGAGCTGCTTCCGCTGCTGCCCCAGCCGCTGCCACTGCTGCCGCCTGCTGTGTCGCCGCCACCATTGCACCAGCCGTTGCCGCGTCGTGCATGGCCACGTCCGCGTGCTCCGTCACCCCCGCTGCTACCGCCATTGCCGCTGCCATTGCCCCCGACGCTGCCGTCACGGTGGCGGTTGTGGCTGCCATCGCTGCCGTTGCCGGTGTCGCGCGGATGCTCGAATGCGTTGCTGCGGTGGAGGCCGACGGACTGACAGCCGCCACTCGCGACAGCCTTACGTGCGGCCTTTCACAGGCCACGGGGCGACACAGCACACCCCCTTCGCACCAACACCTCTTACCGCCGCTACCTCAGAATGCTCGACCGGCTGCTTCATCGGATCCGCGGCAGCTACAGCAGTCTGGGACCGTGCGTGGATAGTGCGTGTTGCAAGGCAGGGGGGCGCCATCCACCGTGAGCCGCCGCAAAGTCTCCTTATTCTCATTCTCCCATCGTATCTCCGTGTATGTATGTAGATATGCATATGTATGTATGCATGTATGATGTGTGAAACAGGGGGGTATATCTTCACCTACCCGGCGAAACCCTGCCTTCCCCGGTATTTCGGAGCACCCTCATCCAGTCACCCTACTCGACTTCTCAATGTATCGCTCAGGTTCCGCACCCACCACCAGCATACAACGGAATCTGCCGGGTCGACAGCGGCCCAACTCCATTCCTAGACGGCTCACAGGTTACCTTTATCACAGGTCACCACCGTCCATCAAGTAGGGGTGCAATACCTTACACCATTTGAAGGATTTTCAACCCGGACAGGCCTCGATCCCGGGATCTCCCGGGGGCAATGGTCGTGCGTTACCAGTAGTGTGTTACCTTGTATGTTGTTACAGGTGGTTAACTTCGCCAGCGGCCCCCTTTCCCGGGGCAGTCCCTGCTCTCCCCTGCTAGAGGGGCACCCTAATCCGTCACCCCATCCGACCTCAGAATGTACTCGTTGGGTTCGGCAACTCACCACCAACATCCAACCAAATCTAGCGGATCAACAGCTCATCAACTTAGTTCCTGGTTAGCTCGCAAGTTGATTTTATCACGTCCTACATCGTCCATATGATGGGGGGCCACCTCCCATTTCAACACTCCTCAAACACCCGAGGAGCCGGCAGGCGGATTTGAACCCGGGTCGGCCGGGAGCAGAAGTCAGGCCTTAACCTCTGCCAGCCGCCTGCCTAGTATGTATGCATACATGTACGTACACCTAAGCCCGTACGAGCAACTTCAATAGGCCAATCACTCCAACAAGTGGATAACCGAGTTCCTCGATGGGCCACGGCGACAGAACTGAAGTAAGCAGTGGGATGAGGTGAAGGAGCAGGAACGTGACGGGCCAGGGCGATGGTCTCGTGGGAGCTTGTTGCACATTGTGGGTGCAAGTATGTGCGAATGCCCAAGACGTGGTTGGGAAGGCGAGGGCATTGATATAAGAGATCGTTACATTTAAAAAACAAGTATCACTCCAGCTGGGTCGCCAAGCAGGCCGTCTTCCATGAGGTCCGGGTCATGGCCCAACAACAGTCAACCGACAATGCGCAACTCTGCGTCACAAACATATTGAGCAATACTGCACACCCACATAGAACGACAAAAGTCGTGAAGTAAAGATATATAACTTCCTATCCATGACGCAGGACAGCCGGAAGGAGTTAGCCAACCGTCGCGAGGATACGCGCGCTATACTTCGGCAAAAGCCAGTTTTGCCTGTCCCCGAAGTCGGAAGTAAATCGATACATGATCACCGTAAGCGTAAATCAACAAATATAAATTATCTGTTGTCTCCTGTCTTGCATCAGTTAGCTAGCTGGCTACTGAATGCAAGCGGTCCAGGTTAGACTCATCGACGCACGTAGGACACAGTCAGAAAGTCATACAAACGAAAAAGGGCGCGCGGAATCCCGCCTAGCAGTGGCTTTAGTCCCATACTGCATGCAAAACGAAAGTCGAGATGAGTCATGGTCATGAAGAAACCGCGATGTGCACAAAATTGATGTGCGCGAATTGGCGGCAAATGCTAACTAGGTCCATTTGTTGCTATGTGTCTGCGGTTGAACAATTCAGTTGTCTATAAAATTTTAGTCTAGTTCTAGTTCTAATCTTAATCTAGACGACGACACCGTCGGTTCCCAGCAGGCTGCCACCAAGCAGAACGCCAACAATCAATCGCGCACGCTCAGTCTATCCTCCTCGTATGCTGCATCGCTCGCCCACCCGCACTCTGTCAAAAGTCACATGTCCCCCCATCTTTAGGTCGACTAAAGATGTAATCATCATCCGGCTAAGAATAATCACATCTAAATACAGGATTTGGTCTTTGTACACAGCCGAACGAATATTTACCACCAGGCGAACGGTCGCAGTGCAGCACGCATATACGAGTGCGGTCGTTTTCGTGTCATGACCCAACCCCCAAATAATTCACCACACGCAAATTCACCATCCCTCATCCCTCCCACGATGACACATTCGCAACGCACCGTTGACAAAACGCTCATCCCAGCCACGGCCACGCGCGCCCATCAAGGGCTTCAGCTGAGCAGGGCCTGTCCCTGCCTGCTGGCTCAGATATTAGACGAGACCGTCCGACGAGGCTTAGGGAACGGCTCGTACTCATCCGTGTTCTGAGGGTACAAAACGCGACCAGTGAAACGCACCTCGCCAATTTGGTACCGCACCTTACCGTGGGGCACCGTCGCCAGCCGAATCCCGACACCGCCGACTGCACGATCGCGGAAGGCGGGTGGCAGGTACGACTGGTTGTACACGCGAGGTAATGGCACCCGATCCGGAACATCCTCGCGGGGGCCTCGGACGATCGCCTCGACTTGCGTGGCACAGACGCTGAGCCGGCGACGAGTGAAGCGTGTAAAGACGTCGTCGTACGTCACGTTGTCATACAGTCGCGTTACGTTGAGACCCAGTTTCTGGATAGGTACGGCAGGCCAGCCGAGCAGGAAAATCTGCGGAAGCGAAAAGCGAGTTGCGGGCGGCATTGATTTCGTGTTAGTTCAGGGGCCGAAGGCCAGGCCGAGACCAGAAGCACCGAAACAGCACCACAAGCTGGTCCCAATTACGTACCCCACCACTCCCTTTTACTATCACCATCATCTTGCGTTTAATTTCCCTCTTGCGTTCCTTTCTCATGCTTGCACAACCGCACAACCTTCCCTTCCTCACCTCCTCCACAGCCTTGCCCGCTAGCTCCAGAACGGCAATCCGCTTGAGGACAACGGGCTCGCGGAAGTACAAGACCACAGTGCGGCTGGGGAAGCCAGCAACGTTGCTGCAGTCATAAATGTGCAGTATTTACAAGATTAGACGAAAAAGATTAGAAAAGGACTAGATGTTCAGTGGAACGTGAAAGAGTTCTAGAGACAAGAATGTTTTTGTGCAAAGTGGTTTCTGAGGAACAAGCAACGCGGCGTCCAACCAGGTAATCTCGCATGTGTGTTATTTACGAGAAGTAGCGTAAGGAGATCTAGTGTATTGTGGACAGGAACCTCACCTGCCGTTGTAGGGGTACCAAGCTCGCTGGCACACACGGCACGGCGGCTGCTTATCGCATTGCTTCTGCGACTGCTGCAGGTCACGATTAATCTGCGAAACAGATACGTATCGGAATTTACATTACGGTGAAGGAAAGGACAAACTAGTTGACAGAACGACAAGCTACGACAGTCGGAAGACAAGTGCCCCGACAGCAACCCAGAATTAAATCTATGTTCCATTAGGTCCAGTAGTATCATTCACGGTAGACAGTAGCATAGACAGTAAGACAACATGATTGACTTACCAGCCACAGCTTGCTGTTGTTGTAGTGCAAGTTGAGCTGGGCATTGAAATCTTTGTCGTCGTACCAAACAACAGGCCTACAGATGCAAATGAAATTGGTAAGGGCCGGGAGTGTAATAAGCAACTCCTTTCAATCAAAGGCATGGCAAAAGAACATGTTCGGTAAGAGTCAGGACAGCAAATACAGATCGATGAGTTGCGGGCAAGATCTTCACAGACGATCACGCACACGCATTTGAAATGATGAAGCACGCTTGTACATACCTGCTTGCACCCTGAACGCCATGTGCAGTCAAGTTTCGGAACCACAGGAAGCGCCGCGCGGTCTCCTGCCGTGACAGTCATGCACAGTTCGCGCGTCGGTTAGTTTCATGGTAAAAAAAGACACTCAGGTTGTCGCAGCATAAAACTCCAAAGACAAGAGGCTGGTTGGAGTCCTTTGCATTTCGCGTCTTGAACCTTAGATAATTAAGCTGATTGGATAAGTGATTGCTCGTTGGCCTTGCTCAAAATAGAACTCACATTAGCAGGAGGCGAGGGCAACGGGGTGGATGGCGTCGAAGGCGAGGGTGACGGGGCGGATGGCGTCGAAGGCGAGGGCGACGGGGCGGATGGCGTCGAAGGCGAGGGTGATGGGGCGGATGGCGTCGAAGGCGAGGGCGACGGGGCGGATGGCGTCGAAGGCGAGGGCGACGGGGCGGATGGCGTCGAAGGCGAGGGCTGCGGGGCCGGCTTGGCGAGAAGGCGGAGCCGGGCAGATGGGCGCTGGGGGATAGCTGCGGGGCCGTAGTGGCCGTAATAACCGTAACCATAACTGTAACGGTAACTGTAACCGTAACCATAGCCGCCTGTGCTTCCGAAAGTGTATGCCAGGTACCGCCGTACAATGTCCACGGTATCAATTGCAAGGGCGCTCGCGGCCTCCACAACAGAGTCCAGGTTGAGGGGGTACTCGTTCATGAAAGAAGAATCAGCATGCGCGTGAGACAAGCCTGCAGGAAATTCGAACAGACCGTTATGACATTTCGACAACCCTTTCCTCACCAGACAGGATGACGCTGATGGTGTGACGATGAACAAAGCCCTATCACTGTACTACACTGCACTACAGCTGCATACATATGGTGTCCAGGTGCCGTACGGGCGTACCTTGGTGGAAGCCGTCAATGACTCGGCCCAGCATCTCGCCCCAGCCCTGCTGCGGCCCGTCCTGCCAGCTGTAACCCAGCCACACCACAGCACCGGAGGAGCCCACCCGGGTGAAGGCCTGAGGGCAGGGAGGGATCAAACCGGGGGAGGGGAAAGGGGGGAGGTTGGGGGACGGGAAGGGCAGCGGTGGCAGGAGATCCATTGCGGGGGGAGTGAGGGGATATGGCATGGCAAACCCGCAACTGGCACGTGACACGGTGCACTCTGCGCTCTCTCCCCCGCAGCCACCCACCTGCGCCACCACCTTCATGGAGTCCCCACCCAGGGTGTACAGCGGGTACGACAACGCGTCCGGATCCTCGTGCTTGCACCAGCTGTGAACCTGTGCATGTTTGGAAAGGGAAATACCAGGGGGGGAATACAAGAGCAAGAATGTGTTTAGATCGAGAGGCTAGCACTATGGCAACAGCTGGCGGCCCGCATCCGGGTAAGACGGTTATCCTTATGAAAGAGGCGCAGAATAACGCTTGCCAGTGTGTGCGGCTACAGCTGTGGGTGCTAATGAACTGCTAAAGCAACGTAGCTTGCAAAATGTTGGCTACTTGCAGCTTTAGAATGCAGGCTCGCAGTGCGGTTCTTAGCCACAAAGTTAATGGCGCACCTGAATGGTACGAACGTCCTCCAGCTGAGTTGGCCACTGCACGTCCAAAAAGTCGCGGGCGTAGGTGGTTGAAGAGATTGCGGTGTCCAGAGCATGACGGGTGTTGTCTGTAACAGATTCGCAGTACTGCCAGATGCCGTTGTAGCCGAGGATGTCGGCGACAAGGTCTTGCGTCGCGCGAGGGAGCCGCAGCGAGTCATGAACGATTACGAGACCACCAGATTTGACAAATGACCTGAGTTCCTCCACATCCTCAATTTCCGAGTACAGGTCGTCTCCGGAGAGCGGGGGAAGGACGAAGGCCGTCGCGGATTTCTCAATCGGAACGCCGACAGGCTTGCCAGCGAAGTGCGTCACTTCAAGCCTTAGCAAAGCTAATTGGTTCTCCAAATTGATAGGACCTTCAGGATCCCAAAAGGTGTCGATGAGCCCAGAGCTGGGCGAAGAGTAGATGGACACAATTGGCCTCTCTGGCAAGCGCCGTTGACTTCGAGCTCCCAAAGGTGCCGTGGCTCCTATACAGTAGACGACGAGCAAGGCCGTTTGGAACAACCGCTGATAGGTGGGCTGATGCATCTTGAATCCCTCAGCTGTTTCTCTGTGACAAGCGATTTGGCGGCAGTACAGTTACCTAGCTAGCCACGCAACCTAAGGGTTCAAGGCCACCCGGTACTAAAATCCAGAGATGAAAATGGACCGAAATGTGTAAGCTAAACGCGCTAAGTGCTTGACTTCCTGGCTCTGGCAAGCTTGAATATAACCAACTCAACCACTACGCTAGCGCACTCTGCACGGTCTGTGAATCAAGACCAGAGGCTAAGGCTAAAATCAATGGTGTGATGCGTGTCTAATTAATAGCTATGAGACTAACTCTGAATGTACTCTTGTAATAATCAATATACAAGCGTTGGGAGTGAGCCACCTTTGGCTGAGGTCGGCATCATCTGATTAGAAAGAGAAGAGATCAGAGTACTTATACCAATCAGGCTGTCAACACACCCCCCGTCTCACCATCTGTCTTCACGGAGATCGAGGGGGGTTTACGGACGGGCGTCATAACGGTCAATTGAAGTTTGAATTGTCACTCTTTTCCATAAAAGCCAGTGAATTGCGTTCAATTTCCTTAAATTAATATTGACATGACCATTACATTGTATAGTTACCTGGCGCTGACTGAACATGAGATGCTTCGTCGGTAGAAAGGCAGTCCTGTCCTACACGTACATTCGCAAATCGTTAATAGAAGGTACCTATATTTTCAGCTGAAGCCAGGTTCCATTTACCACTGCAAAATTGCAGAACTTACTTCACAGTTTATTAGCTAGCGATAACCAACCATGGCTCATTGATTGACAATTGAGCCTACAATGCATGGTATTCAGCATGACAACCTTAGGAATTTTAACGCTGCGCGCGAGTGCTGGAAGTCCATCATCACAAAACCGAAGACGCCTCGTTTGACCTGAGTCGCGCAGTGTCAGGCCGTGCGGGGTCAGGCTTTCGAACAAAATTAAAAAAAAGCGTCTCCAGCAGCAGAACTTGTTTAAACTGGACAGAAGGACGGAGTTTTCCTCATACCGATTCGTTATCATCACACGCTGTCGCGTGAGCATCGTTAAGAGCTAGCTGCAAGATGCGTTGACAGGAAAACAGTATTTGTCCCATTCCTTCTTACATTACTGCTTTGGCATCCGATCAAAACAGCTCTTAAAGCCAGTTCGGACGACCGTTGCGGCATGCCGCAGCGGTATGCTTGGGCGAGCAGCGAAACGGCAACTACTGTTGCAAAAGCAATAAGCACATCTAACCGGCAAATGGTCAGTTCCGGAATGCAGCAAAGGAAAGCCTATGTCAAGGCAGGGCGAGCTCAACATGCCATACGGCCACCCAATTTGCTAGCCACCCAATCCTGCAGGTCGCTGCACCGCGCGCCTCAAGCACTGCGCTATCGCATGCTCCCCAACCCGCCTAACCGCCTAACCGCCACCGTCACGGCGCGATATTAAGGGAACACACGATCTTTTCATACACCAAGCATACAACCCGCCTGGCATGCCTGGACTATGCACACCTCCTGACTGCACGCACCATAGTGCAGCTCCAGTGCGGGTGATACCACAAAACGCACGCTAGTCACAAATGTGCTTGATAAGCGCAGAAGTGGGAGGGCAAAAAGCGGAGCAAAGGACCATCTCTTAGGACACGGAGAACCGATCCACCCCACCTTGATGCACCATGATTGGCTGTGGTGACTCCGACAGGTGAATATGTGTGTGTGTTACATGGTCGTGGGGTGCGTTCCCCGTACCTGCAAACCGCCGCAGGGCTGCCAGATCGCCTGTATGCACCATCCTAGTTCGCACTTCAGACAAACCAAGTGATAAAGGATACTAACGACCAAAGGGAACAATTAGAGTTGCGGTGAGATCCAGCATCCTTGCCAGACGTTCAGGTTCCCACATCATAGCGCCCTTCATATGCTCGAAGCGCGGAAAATCCATATCAGATCTGATTTTGTCGTACACCGGACAGTCCAGCAAAATGTGTTTCTCATCCTCGATGTGGCTATCAGTGCCGCAGCAAGGGCATACTCGCTCCTCCCTAGGTATATGTGTGTGTGTGTGTTACATGGTTGGGGGTGCGTGACCCCATACCTGTAAGACTACCCATACGAGCCGAGGGCCCAAGGGCAATACTACAACGCCTAAAAGCCACGGAGAAAAAGGAAAAAACACCGCACATCAGCCCAGACTAACGTCCAAAGGGGGTAATTGAGTTTCGGTGAGCCCACATACGTTCCAACATCCTCGCCAGACGTGCGGGTTCCCATTGCATGGCCTCCAACATACTCTGTTGATGATCGAATCCCTCTTCAGCACGAATATCATTATAGGCTGGGCATTCCAATAACACGTGTTTTTCATCCTCAATTCGGCTATTAGGACCACAACAGTGGCAAAACCGCTGCCCCCTGGGGACATGGTACTTGCCCCTTCGTGCTCTGTTCGCCTCCAAAGCCCAGCAACATAAACGAAA